GTATCTGCTCAGAAGCCACCCCGAACTCTCACCAAGCAGATCAGAGCGCTCTCGGAAGACGCGTTCCCTCAGGAGAGCACGGTTTGCCAAATCTTCTAATAAAGCCAGATCAGCCACGCTACATTTTCAAATACCCGTCACAGGTCTCTTTTATAGGTTCTAACACCAATTAGGTGACAAAGTTGTTTCTCAACAAACATAATTACTGATTGAGTATATATCATTTTGAAATGAAGAACACACGTGGTTAACAGACTTTCAATATTGCAGTTCCCCTGTTCTACCACTAGATTCTGTGCGTACGCATGGTCAGAGCTGTTCTTATATTTAAGAACATTTCTAATTTCGAAGTATTAGATGGTAAATTCCACACTTTGCGTGAAACTGTTCTCGCGCAAAAAATACGCAAAAATCTGTGCGTAAGAACGGTTGATAAATGAGGGCCCAGGTCTTGGGAAATGATAGTTCCCAGGAATTTGAAAGTCTCCACAGAAGACCACCCCCCTGCTGGGACAAAGACCTGGCTGACGACCTCAACAACTTCTATTGCAGGTTTGAGAGGGACATAATCATACCCCTCACCCACTCCAGCCCAATAACAATGGAAACCATCATACCGTCCTACCATCCCCCCCAGGAACTCGGGTCCCAGGAATTCTTGGAATGTCTGCTTAATTCAGTGGCAAATGTATTGGTTTTCGAACAAATTCACTATCATTATCATTCTAAATGACCTGACAAAAAGCGACGGGACACAGCAGTTCCGAGTTGAAAAGTTTATTGAAAAGCAGTCAAATTGGATGCTTTTAAAATTGTCAACACCTTTGCAATGACATAAACACTAGTTTCATGTTAAACCGTACTGAACAAATGGGAATCAGACTCTGCATCTATCACTTGTAAGCTGTTGCAAAAATGGCCTGGAAGTTTATGCCTCTGTCGGTCATTTCTTCCATGTGAACATTTGTGAATCTGCTGGCTTGGAGGGCCTCCATGTAGGTGTCAGGGTGCCAGTTCCGGGGGGGTATCGCTCCTCTGGAGGCTGCATACACCAACGACTGGAGTCTCAGAGTAGTCACCATAACAGCACCTGGGATCATGAATTGAATCCAATCATCTTAATCATGGGTATGACAGCACTGAATTCCCCAGTTTTGCTAAATATGAATTAAATATACTGCGCTCACAGAAAGTCTCGGGATGCTTGCTTAATTCAGTAAAAATGTTGCAAATGCATTGGTTTTATAGCAAAAATCATTACGGCATTCATATGATTGTTTATAAAAAATATATCACATTAGAAACAACCAGTGATTATTGGTATGGAGGCATTGAAAGACTGCTGGTCTGAATCCCCAACCAGAAAGGAAACACTGAGGTACCCTGAGCATGGTACCCCCCCCCCCCAGCACTCCTCCCCGGGTGCTGAATTAGCTGCCCCCTGCCATGTCACAATGTCACATATGGGTTAAATGCATAGGACACGTTTCATTGTTCGGCTTTCTGCTGTGTCAACAATGATCACTGATCACCAAATTTATAAAACATTCATTTCATATAGTAAGAAACTGAAACCCAAATTATCATTCTAAAGGAGTTCACAAACAGTGATGGGATACAGCTGTTGTAGCATGCATCTTCATACCATGCAGACCCACCTGACTTCATCACCCTGAGTATCTCCTGACTGCCCTCTCTCAGATCTGGCCAGAAATAGTAACAGTTGCAGTGGTAAACCTTGTCAACGCTGTTATCTGGGATGGGCATCGCTGCCACATTGCCGTGATGGAGGGTCACCTTGCCGCATGCAATGAGCTCCTTCACCCTCTTGGTGGCAAGTTGGTGCATGTAATCTGAGTAGTCGACACCAATCAGCTTCCCCTTGGGCCCAGAGAGGAGAGGGGCTGCAGCCACGAGCCCCAGGCCCGGCCCATG